CACACACACACACACACACACACACACACACACACACACACACACACCAAACCTACTGAGCTCAGCTAGCTTGTCCGTCCCATCGGTGACCCCGCTGCCATCAAACATTAACCTAGCCAAAATCTAACCCCTGCTTTTCCCCATCCACCAACACGTATCTATCAGGCCAACTATCTATCCATCAGCAGAGTGGTCTGCAGACAGCATGGGGGGGTCCCTTCCCATTACTGCCCTGCATTAACCTCTAGCTAAATATTTACAGTAAGAAGAACACACAGGCACAAACACGCCATGCAGAGCCGCACATAACCACCACGGTTCGCCCTCGTTCCCTCACCAGCTGTGGTCAGAAAGGGAACGACAGCTTTAAACAAAATAAAAATAAAAAAGTGAGTCCTGAACTCTACGATTCATTCATTCATTCAGTTCTGCAGAAAATAAGTTCAGGAAATAAACACAACTCATCTTATTTGACTCTCTAACGGTGAAAATGTTCTCGCATAAAACATCTGCATTACACAACAGATCGATAGCAACGTGCGCTCACATTTTTTATGCACGTTTTAGCACAGCTGGGGATAAATCTGGAGCTTTAATTAAGCAGAACAAAGACTCCATGTTGCATTTCACGCTACTAAATATACTCCCTAATTTAAAAGTGCTCGTTAAAATGTCGTGTAGAAGGGTAAAAAAAAAAAGTTGCTTGTTTTTGCAGAGCGATGGCTTCAATTCCAAAATGTGACTAAATGCTAAAAAGCCAAAGTGACTACAACGAGGTCAACAATGGCAGCATTTACAATGGAGAGGTCCAAATTTCTCTATGTATTTATACTCAGATTTGTTGAGCTAAGTACGCAGATAAAAGTACTTTGTTTACATTGAGTGTGTACCAGCATTTTAAAATAGAATATCAATACATCTGGAAAAACTACTGAAGTAAATCAAATAAACGGCCTCATTTGATGTAGCTCAGAATAACTTTAACTTGGAATTTAGCAGAACGTGCTTTACTTTAGTTTATTATTTTTTGAATATGTAAAATAAATAAATAAAAACAGCATGAAGCATAATGTCACAACTTTTTGTTTTACATATTCAAGGGAGTGGGAAGAAGTATAAACTTATCAAAATTACCACTCCTTAACCACTTACATCATCTTACATTTATTACATGTATAATCCAAACATATAACAACTAAACCCTCATTTAACCCATCAATATAGTATCTAAGTTAACTGCAGTAGATTAACTATTATTATTTATTTAAATTCACCCAAAAAAAAAAAACTAGCATCAACAGCAAAAACACCAACAATAATTGAGTAATAATATTATACATTATATCCAGCAATAATCGTATTTATATGATAATTTGAACAGTTTTATGTTTGGACATTGTTTAAGTTCAATATTCAAATTATTCCACAGTTTGACTCCACTTACTGATACACACAAGTTTGTTTTATTGTATTTCTTAATTTGCACATTTTAAACTGATTCTCCTCTTAACTTATAAATTTGCTCCTTAGTCTTTAACAGGTTTTGAATGTTTTCTGGTACTTGTTTATTTTTGGCTTTGTAAAGAATTACAGCCGTCTGTTCAATGAACTTTAATAATTTAGGTTTTATAAATAGTGTATTAGTGTTTTCTAAATATCCCAGCTCATGGATTATTCTTTTTGCTCTTTTTTGTAGTATTGTTAATGCCTGAGTGTAGTTTTGTAATTTAAAATATTGTGGAGGTAAAAAAAAGTTTTTGATTTAGGCATAAATTGGTATAAAACGACGGGATTACGTAGTGAAAGTAACTATTGTCAAAGAACGCTTTTATCCATAAATACATGTAAAGGTTGGACACGCAAAGAAAAAAAAGCTAATTTAAAACAAACAGAAAACAAAGGGGCTGCTGAGCAGATAAATTTATACATCAAGCAATAACATTACAGCTCCTAAGCTCATAAAAATAAATAAGCTGCTGCAGTTTCTTTTGACACAAGCAGCATGCGGATGCTTTTATTGCAACCCAAAATAAGCACCCAAGACCTCCAGCTGCACAAAACGTCAGATGGTTTGAAGAATGAGAAGAATGCGGGTCAGAGCGAGCAGCTGAAACAAAAAGGTGATGATTCTGAAAGAAGGGAGGAGGCGAGGGACGTGTGGACCGTACGCCTCCATCAGAGGAGGGGAAGCTGCAAAGCATAAAGGCGGTTGCCAAGCAACTGAACACGACGGAAAAATAATAATACAGACCTGTTCCACGTGTGTGAGCAAGACCCACATTATGATACACTCGCTCATACAAACATGGAGCCAATTACAAAAGTGAATCAAATCTTGGCCATTAGGATTAGTAATTTAACGTATTGTACAGAGGAAAACATTTTCTGATTAATTTAATGACGTTCAGAGAAGCAGCAGCTGATTTCAGTCTATTAAAACTCGGGGGCTAACCATTCAGAATTATCTAAAAAAAACATTATAAAAGATGAAATTCTTTTTCTTCTCTACCGTGAAAAATTAATCTTTTGTTAGTATTTTTTTAATTTATTCTGAGGCCTGTGAGAAGTGACGTCTCCAACTGGTGTTTGGTGTGTTTCTGGACCTTCCTCACCTGAGCCGGCCGTCGAGGAGCTGCTGTTGCTCTGCAGGCTTCCGTTCCTCAGGAGCGACGGGGACTTCTGAATGCCACCAGTGATGCCCATGACCCCCAGCCCCCTTTCCCCTCCTCCTATTCCCACTCCTAATCCGCTGCTGGAAACCAAACCTGACCGTCCTGAAAGCGTCGAGGAGGAAGTGGAGGCAGAGGAGGAAGAGGAGGTGGTGCTGGCTGTGGAGGAGGTGGGGAGCGTTAAAGATGGAGCTGCCTCGGAGGGCTTTAGTTCTGTGGTGAAACAAGGTCCGAATCTATTCCTCCAGTTGCCCTTCTTTTTTTTCTTCACACCATCTTCCGTTCCGCCGGTGGCCGCTCCGCTAACCCCCAGACCTGAGCTGGAGGGCTGAGGCCGCTTGTAGCCCGCCGACCCGGCGAGGCTCGTCGCTTCGCTCGCTGCGTGGCCGAGAGAGTTCTCGTACAGCTTTCCACCAACTCCTGTAAAGACGAACAGCGAAACTGAAGATTTGTTGTTCAGCCCTATACACGGACCGATTACTGGTTTCAAGGTAGAACAATGTGCTCAAAAGACCCGTTACTACCGTTTAAAACGCCCAAAGCCTTTATGTTCATAAAGAAAACAATAAATAGTCAGCAGGTTATACATTTTATCCGGCTGAGTCGTGGCTCGTCAACCAAAGAAGAAACGCCCGTCTCTCTTTGCACGGACTGTTTTAAAATAAACGTTCGCTACGAGAGTTATCGATTTAAACTGACTTGTTTTCTCCTTAAGGTAACTAAAAATTTACAATATATTAAATATAATTCTATACTTGTTGGGAATGTGTCTTTTAAGCAAAAACTAAACAAATTTGACCAAAAGTTATTTGAATGTTTTTCTTGAATACTTAAGAGGGATGCACATTCTTGTCAGTAAAGTTTCATAATCCTCTCAACAATGGCAGAAACAGATGTTGTGACACTCTAAGCTGTTTTTTTTTTTTTTTTTTTTGAGGAAGTGGGGTGTTTTGAAAAAGCCCCACAGACTTAAAAACACTGTTAGGAAAATATGTTGTGTCACTAACGGGTGCTGGTGTGAAATAAAAAAAAAAAAAAGGGAATTTTGTCAATTTACTCATTTTAAATGGACTTTGAATATTCTAAAATCAATGCCAATCCCTAAACTTTAATAATATAATTATAATAACCGTGTTTTCCAGCATATAAATCGCAGCTTTTTTGCACGGATTTGTCAGTCCTGTTACTTATACGCCGAAACAACTTATATACGTTATTTTTTTCCCTTTTCATAATGCAATTTTTGACTGACGCTTTAAATTTCGAAGAACTGCAACAGCCGGTCCTTCCGTGCGCGCTCGCTTCACTCGGCTGGCGCAGGAACGCTGGAGAGCTAGTGGCTCCGGCTGCAACGGATGGGTAGGGGTGTAACAATACATCAATTTACATCGATACATCGATTAAATGATTCAATTATATCGTGGCAAAACTAAAACATAAATTCATATCGTCATCTTTAAAATCCGCTTTTATTTTGAAATTCCCAAGGCACGTCTGTGTCACCATTTCCGTGCGCGGCTGCGCTCTGTGTCCGCCTCAGCAACGTGGCAGACGAGGCAGAAAACACGACGACGTTCACTCTCCTGCTGGATTTAAATCAACTCTGTGGAAATATTTTGATTCCAACAGACGAACGGCTCAACAGACAAAACTCATGTCGTGTGCAACAGGTGCCGGTGAGAGTTCAAATCCTCGGGAAACAACAAATATGACCGTTCACCTGAAGAAGAAACACGGCATTGATAGCCATGTTATGTAAGCTCAATATCTGCTTTTGTTTCTTTGTAACTGAGAGGTCATCAGGTCACTTTTAAGTTAACTGGTTTGAAAAATGCACTTAAACATGAGAAACGTGAGACTTTACTGAACAGGTCATTTATTTTTCATTAATTAAGAAAAAAATGTTTTTTTATTTAAATGTCTGGTGCCTGTAATAACAGAACTAAAATGGTTAAATCATATTTGAATTGTTTTTGTAAATTAATTTATATGTAAATGAGATGGGCGTTTGGTATCGCAATATATCGATCGCAGACTTGTGAATCGAAATCGTATCGTGACAGACTGTGTGATAGAGAAAAATCGTATCGTCATACAAACAAATCAATATAATATCGTATTGTGGTAAAGCTGGTGATTTACACCCCTAATGGATGGACCCAGGCGAAAAGAAGCCGTTTTGACCATTTATTAAGGAAAAGTTAAAACTGAGACACACCTTTGCTATAATTTTGAAGCAACAAATAATTGCTTTTAAGTGATAATCTTCTTAAATTTCAAAGAACTGCAACAGCTAGTCCTCCCGTGCGCACTCGCTTCATTCACTCAGCTGGTGCAGGTGGAGGAACTCTGGAGAGCCAGCGGCTCCAGCCGTAATTCATTCAAGCTTTATTTATACAGGTTAATCCCATTGAACCTCAGGGACTCATTTACAAGAGACCTGATGGATGCCGCTGCGCCGCCCAGGCGAAATGGAGCTGTTTTGACCATTAAATAAATGTGACGGGTCAGCGGTGACCTATAACAAATGCGACTTACATGTTTTTTTCTTCTTCATGATGCATTTTTGTCTGATGCGACTTATACTCCGGAAAATACGGTAAGCATGATGTAATATCATTTCAGCAGCAGATAGTATTTACATATTAGCTTTTAAATAAAAACAAATACAATTTTTGCTTTAATCAGCAAAACCAAGTATGTTTACTCAAGGTTATACTGGACCACGCCCGTTTAGTACTCTTATTTTTGAGTATGTTTGTTTAACAAGCATTTCCACCCAATTCATCAACCAACGATGCGATAAAATGACGAGTAAATAAAGAAAAAGGCAAATAATTGAAAGTGCAGACAACCAACAAACGTGTGGCACCTGCAGAAGCTGTCGTAGCCGACATTAGAGAACCAAAGAGAGTTGCGGTTCCCTCGGAAGCTCCCCCCTCCAAACTTGGTTTCACCAGGCAGCTGCTGAACGACGGTGGGGAGGAAAAGGAAGTTCCACCACCGGGTCGTAACGATGAATCCGAGAAGCTTAGGAAGTCTGAGGAGGAAGGGGCAGGAGTTTTGCTGGCGCTGGTCAGCAGCAGGCCTGGGAGACAGAAAAAGACAGGAAACGATGAACGAAGGAAACAAAAGGTGACGTCGGAAAGAAAGGAAGCATAAGATGGTGAAGCAGGGAAACAGACATTATTGATGTGAAACTTTCCACAACGCTCTTCAGGGAGGAACAAGAACTAAAAAAAGCAAAATACACTTTATCTCCTAAACGTTCATCTTTTCCGGATCATATAGTCCTCCCATGTATCAGAGGAAGTAATCCTCTCCGAAGGACACACACAGACAAAAAAAGGACTCAAGGTTTAAATCGCATTTATCAAAATCGTTCAATGTGAACAATGACTCCTCTTGTTTCTCAGCCCCCCCTCACATGTTCCACCTGTGTTTTACAGACAGGATCCCAGATTACAGGAATCCAGGCGCCAATTAAGATGCAGCTGCAACATCACAAGCACACACCAACTGAGCAAAACCCTGTCAATAACGTAGCGCTTATATATGCACACACACATAACGCATTAATCACCTTCTTATTGGGGTCCTAATTATGTTGATGCATTTTACAATTGTGCTGCAGCGGCAGTACTTTTTTTTGGTGGGTGGGCTAAGTAGTAAGAGCAACTGATTTGTCATTGCATTTCCATTTTTCTAACTGCGGGGATAATTCCCGCTTGTGGGAGAATTAACATACAGCACCATTTGCTGCCATTAATTCACCTTGATGGAAAGGCCCCGTGGAAACGGAGGCAGATGTAGAGGAGGTTGCCATGGTGACCACGGCAGAGGGTAGGGGTTTCCCTGAGGAGGTGAAAGACTTGCGCCCGCCCCTCTGTCCTGCCGTGTGACCGCCGCCACTGGTCTTCTTATTCTTGACCTCGGACGCTGCCTTGCCAGCGTCTGCGGCCAAGCCGTCCTTGGAGCTGCTGCCAGGGTGAGCAGATGACACTTCCTGGAAGTTGGCGTTGGTGAAACGGGCGGCGTTGTCTTCCAGTCGCTTCTGCGAGGCTGCCGGCAGAGAGGTTACACCTCCCACTGAGTTGCCGGTGTTGTAGGTCTGCAGGAAGAAGGTGAGGAAAAAAAACACACCGGTAAAAAAGAAGCTGGAAATAAAGGGAGGAAAAGTAAAAATAAAATGAAAACACAAAATCATAACCAGGTGAGAAACAGACATGAATTAGGAGAAAGGTGACCTCACCTTGTCTGGAACCAAAATGTTTGGAAGGACAAGAGAGGGTGACATGTCCATCGAGCCTTTCTTGTGCCTCGGCTTGTGTCTGTCCCGCTCCTTGTGTTTCTGAGCACAAAGACAGAAAAATACAATGAACAAATGAATGAAGCTTCTCAACACAAGAAAAACTAGTGGCTGCACTAAAAAACTATTACAGTAGTTTATCGCTGGGGATCCGTACCTGAAGACCCACGATAAGTGAAAAATCACAAAGTAAATACAAGTAGTAAGTCGTATTGATATATATATATATATATATATATATATATATATATGCCTATATATATATATATATATAGGCATTTTAAACCCTTCCCACACACTTACAATATTCTAAACAATGTTTCTAAACTCTAAAGAGATTGTCATGATTTCAGCTCCCTGCCTCCGCTGCTCTCAGCCACCTGCAAGCGTTCTTGGCCACGCCCACTTCCCCGCTCTACACAGAGAACAGCTGATCAGCTGCAGCAGGAAGTTTATCCTGCAGTGTGGGCTGCACAAAGGTGCAGGGGGTGTTAAATAATTTACTTTAAATAAAAATTTCCATGCCGATCGTGCGGCTCGTCCATCAATCAGCCAATTGTGTGTCATGTCCAATCTTATTTTGAAAAACCGCGATAGAGCGAGTCAGCGAAAAACGAACTGCGAACAAGCGAGGGACTGCTGTAAACACAAGAAGAAGAAAGGTCAAATTTATAGACATTCAGGAAGTTACCAGCCACAGGTGTATTAAATTAAAATAGACTATAAATATGGAAGAGGGGCGTGTCTGAAAGGAAGAGAAGAAGAAATGCTAAATTCTGAAAACTCCACCTAAGATTAAAGCCAGGAGAGCCATAAAAACCAAAGAGTGATGAATAAGAGATTACCAGTAAAAGGAGGATTTAGCGTTCTGCTAAATGCATCTAAGTGCCTTGTGCTGAGGAGTAAAGGGTTTCTGATTCCAGCCAATCACATCGCTCCTCTTGGACCATCGAAGCTCAATTTACACCCTCACCAACACACAGACACTGCCACCCTCCTCTCGCACCTGAGGTGGGGACTGGGCGCCAGCACATTTACACCTCGCGTGCACGCCCGGCACTCTGACACCTCTTCCACATATGCATATATGCAGACAGGTGCACAAAGTCCTCACATGCACACACGCATGTGCGTAGTTGTGCACAATTTAGGAAATAAGCAGTAAAAATATGCGCAGATCCCGAGAAGCAAAAAGGGACTCGACATGTGATGATCAGCGATAAGACTCATTCGAAGCACCAGATACGCCCCGCCCCCGTTCTTTGGGGGGTTTGGTAAGACTTCTTGCACGGGGAGCTCGTGACCGTTTAGCCAGACTTCCTCTGTGCACGGCGGTTAACAGATATCACCGGCCAAATCAGAAGATAGCAGCTTCGTTGTGTTCCCTCTGCACACTGGCTTCCCCTGTGCTCCAGGGCAGGAGTCATGTCTGCATGTGTAATCAGATTACAAGAAAAACTTTAAATACACTTTAAATTTGTCGTCTCGTTTCTTGACAACGTTGTTCCTTTTATTGTGTGTTTAAACCAACATTTAACATGTAAATTTAAATCCAGTCTGTGTTAGACCACTGTTTTGTAACCATTAGCTGTTTTTTATTGTTTGAAGAGGCCTGAAAATAAACTGATATAAAGGATTTAAATCCATCTAGACTTATTTTCCATCCTCAAGTTGTTGCTGTCAACAATTTTCTGTTTGTCATAAAAATCTCTCAAAACCAATTATATGGATTTTAATAAAGTTTTCATAGCGTCATCACCTACAGCTGATTAACTGTGGGATTCAATCCAATTCAAGATGGCCGATCACAGCTTATCAACACAAAATGTCTTTAACCCAGTCAAATTTATAGACACTGAGATAAAACTTGGTGTGGTAGTAGTTGAGAGTCATCTCCAACACAAAATCTTAGGAATAACTCAAGATCATATTGCACAAGAATGCAAACGACAAATTATGAGTTTTGATCATAACGGCTGTAATTTGGTTCCTTTTGATCACAAGATGATTTTAGTTTAAAACGTTAAAAACGGTGGGTGGTGATCCTTTAAAGGGATGCGCGATATTATCGGCATAGTATCGGTATCGGCTGATATTTTCCATCAAAATAACTCACCGATATAAAAGACTGTTTTTGAATGACGACCCAGTGATAAGGATGTCTGCAGCGCCAGCACAACGTGATGACGTCACGCGCGCCCACCTGATCTGATCACGACGGGGAGGAAGAAGTCAAAATGTCGGCGTGTGGAAGGTTTTTTTTGTTGTTGTTGTTGAGGATGTCTGAGTCCGAAGATTTATGGACTACGTTGAGCCCACATCGTCCCCAATCAGAGATATTTTTCCGACGTAGCCTTAACAGAGTTACAAGCCGCCATTTAGAAAGTCGTTAAGAAGCTAACAGCCGATAGCACTTGGGTGAGCTTTACCACAGATATTTGGACGTCGTGTTAGCCCCGTTAGCATGATTAGTCTTACGGCACAATGGATAGACTAAAACTTTGAAGTTAAAAAATCTGTCCTTCATGCACAGGAGTGCAGAGGATCCACACTGCAGCTACAGGAACCTGGAACAAACCTCCACAAGTGAGACAGCATCGCAGGTGACTAATGCTAATAAATAACACTTAACACTTTTCATTTAATATAAGTTAAAGTACTATGCAGATCATATAGCTTTTATACGTCACCAGCTCTTACAGCTGTTGCACAATTTTTGTAGCAATAAGCCTAAATGAGATGCTATGTTCTGACAAAGGAAAGTATATCAAATATCAGCCTAAAATCCAATATAGTGCATCCCTAATCCTTTAAGAACGGATTATATTTTAAAGTGTTAAAGAAACAGACAATTATCAAGTGTTGTATCAGAACCAGAGCGACTACCACAGTTGTTTAAAAAAATGACTGAATGCAGATTAAACACGTTTCACTCAAAGATGAAAGCAGATTTTTGACTAATGTAAAAGACTCAACTAAACGTTTAAAGTTACGACGTCACTGAGGCTGGCAGAAAAACTTGTACAGTACAATATCCACACGCATTGAAACTTCACGAGTTAACAAAAATGTTCCAGACCTATTCATATGCAAGTCTTTTTAAATAGTTTTTGCTTCACTGTGATTATTTTCTTGCCTCAAATCAAAGCTTTTATGTAATTAATTATGAACAAAACCTGAATGGTGTTTTTATAAAACAAGAAACAGAAGCGACTGAAAGAAGCCTCCAACAGTTTCCTTTTTATAAATGAGCTACACGTTGCTTTTAGTTAACTAATTGATGGAACAACTAGAACGCCTTCAAAGACTTCGGTTTACGTAAACGTAGTTTTGACAAAGACGGCAGAACTTCAAGTCTCCACTGAAACAAAAAGGTGTAGAGATAAGAGAGGTGGAGAATGAGACAGACCTGAAGTCTTCGGGGTTTCTCTTGTTGTTTTTCATTAACATTCCTGAGGAAGGTGTTGATGGACAGAAGCTGAGCTGACAGGGTCGGGTGACACACACACACACAGGGAGCACCCACAGCACTGGGCGTGGGAAACATAACACACACACAATGTCATTCTGACACAGCCTTATCAATCAGGTCAATTGATTATCCAGGCGGGGACAAAGCCTTTCAGCGCACTCTCTCCTCTTTTTGTCCGTCGCTGCTGATCGCCGGCCGGATCATTTGACTTGTCTGAGGAGCTTTTGAGAGCGTGTGGGGTAAATGTGAGCCGCTCCTGACAAAAAACTATTAACGTTTTAACTCTTGAATGCAGATCGCTAACTTCAGTGGGAGGGAACCCACTTTTTGTTCAAAATGGCTCTTTGCACATATTTAACTGAAATTAATTTCTTTGCAAACTTGAGCATTTTAAATTCTGCATATTTAAACAAACTGCCACCCAAAGTTATGGCTGCTTCCTAATAAATTAATAAACAACAAACGATATATGCTCAAACGATGAAATGAGTTTATTGTTTTTCTTGTTTTGTCCACATTGTAATATTTTAAATAAGCAAAGGTGGCAAAGCATTTAAGAACATTTGCTTTATTTACTAATCATTCATTTGAAAGATTTTTTTAAGACAAACTATATTAAAAATTAAAAGACACTGCTCAATTAATAAATGTTTAATCACTTTAAATCTTTTCAGATAATTATGCAAACTTGTTGCAATTCTGAAAAGATTGTCTAATGGACTTGGTTTTAGTAGAAACGACATAATGCAGGATTTGAGTCAATCACAAACATTTGGGCACGTACTGGAAGAAAGTGGATGGGGAAAAATAGTATTGATGGTAAAACTGGTTCGTTCCTTCAAACAAATGTACCTACGCATGTGGTGGACAACTCAGAGGAACAAGAGAAGTCTATGTTGGATCCATAACAGCCAAAAATAAACAAATCCATAAATTTATGTACAAAATGATGGTATTTATTGTACAAACATATATAAATGTCTATGTTATTTAATAAAAATGATGATGGAAAGACTTGAAGCCGCTTGCACTGTTTGTTAAATGGTTTAAAATTCACATCTATGTCCTCGGGAGGATGAGGGGGCACAGAGAGAACGAGAAAGAGGGGAAGATGGGTAGAAAGAGAGGAACAGGAAGGAAGAAAGTAATCCGCCCTGGCCTGGCAGGAATTCCCCAGTGCAGTTTCCTGCAGGATTTCTGACCATGCATTGTGTATGCATGCATGTGCGTGCGTGCGTGTGTGCGTGCGTGTGGAGGGGGGTGTTTCCTGCGGGCCTTTTCAAGCAGCCGGTGTGGGGGATCTCTAAGCCCCTGCTGTAGGTTGACTGCAGGCTCTTACACGAGGTGGGCATACATCTGAACCTCCAAACCACATAACAAACACATGTGCGCACACACACACACACACACACACTCGCACGCACGCACGCACGCACACACATCTAATCCTACTGATCTCTGACCCAAGAATGGGGATAGATTGAGTCTGTGCATGTGTTCAAGCAGGAGGAGGGGGATTCTCCGGCGCTGCTCAAACACTCGAGCAGTAATTGAACAAAAATATAAAAAC